ATCCAAACTTCAAACTCATCACTGGGCACCGATCATTCACTAACTCTAACCTCTCAACTGTATCTGACTCGTCACCAACTGACCAGTGTCAACTCAACAGCACTCAACTACTTAACACTAGTGTCAACTTTACAATTAATTAAGGTTTTTAGTTGAGATGAAAAAATTTAATGGCACGAGAGGGATTCGAACCCACTACCTTCGGCTAGATACGCCGCTTCTCTACCACCTGAGCTATCGTGACCTCGATCTGTGGGGTTGAGATGGGGAGTTGATGTCCGAGTGGATCGAGATCACGATAGCTCAGGTGGTAGAGCAGCGGCGTATCTAGCCGAAGGTCGTGGGTTCGAATCCCTCTCGTGCCATTAACTTTTTTCATCTCAACTAAAAACCTTAATTAATTGTAAAGTATTAATTGGTCAAGCGGACCACGAAATTAGTGAATTTAAACAAACTAGTGTCAACCACTTACTGACAAGTAGCCCCTGTTCGCGATCTGATCAAAAGAGTTCACCCAATTTACTGAGCGAGCGATGAACCGCTCTGGAAAAAAAAAACAGAGGTAGCTTTGATATCACCTGTACTTCCATACCAATTCTTCAGGGAGGGTCTCAATAACTTGACAAGTCACATCATCCCGTTTGACCTAACAGCCACTCTCCGCTATTCTATAATTCACCTCTCCAGGCTGTCCAGAGTCATGTTCATGGGTCGTCCACTTGTGAAGTTTGTCTAGTTTTTAGAATTTAGATGGCTTACCAGGAATCATTCTCCAAGGCAGCGGTTGAAATTTCGTTGGACTCTCTTGTCAATCAATATGGATGTTCAACCCTCCCCCAGCTCCCCATTTCGGTGTGCTATCCGAAGCTGATATCACATTGAGAAAAAACTATACCATATTGAGATGCTTCACTTACCTCTGAAGAATACTGAACGTTATTAATTTTATCGAAGCAGTCGTAAATAATTGACCGATTTGGGCCCCTCCACCGATTACAAGGATGACTGATTATCTTACATTAATTAGTCCAGAGCTCCTTTGCTAGCCCAGTCGAAACCTGATTTTTCCGTACGCCCTCAACGAAAAGGGTTTATCTTCACTAGATAGAAGCGTTTGGGACAGTTACATCAGATATTCTGGCGGTGTGGTCGTTAGAGTATTCGAATACGCTGTTAGAGCGGAATAAATGGCAGAACGCCACTCCATCTATTACCTGGGGAGGTGGCCTTTCTGAAGAGTACGTGCACCCCTCTTTGCTTTAAACGCTCTCCGTTCCAGCCTCTCTCCGATCTCCTAATTCACTTCTCCAGCCGTCCGAATAATAATAAAAAGAATATGATAAATTTGGTCAGAGCAAACGGTAAGACATGAAAAAAGTTCTTATTTATTTAACTAAATGAGCGGTTTTGATCTGTTCCTAAAAAAGTGTTTTTTTGTCCATCAAACGATTCAAACGATACACTTACAATACGATGGTTTGTTTTACTTCCAGTCCTGGTAGTAGCATCCGTTTATCTACGGTATATATCTTCCCAGTTAACAGCTTTAAGGTGATTTATTTAACGCCGGGAGCAGTTTCGGCCTTGTTAGCTTCAATTTGTGAGTTTATTAACGATCGTAATAATTTAATTTTGTTTGAACTTCCGTTCCATTGAATAGAATTAAAAAGACACAACACATATTTTTTAATAAGATAAATCACAATTTTTGTCGGTGTTTTTTTATGAAATATTTTAGAATAATTCAGTTAATTAACCAAATTCACACGCAAGAAAAGAAAAGGCAACCTTAACCGAAATTGCTAGGAGCTCTGTTGAGACAAGACGTGTTCCTTGGTTTGCCAAGATCAAAGTGTTCAGCCCGCTATTCTGACTTCTCTCAGTACATAGAAGTTGAAAAAGTGAGACATTTTATTTTTAAAAAAAATTCTCCATCACCGCCAAATTCACGCTGGACGTGCACACGAACGTGAAATATTGAAAGGTTCACATCTATCGAAAATTAAAGCTTTGGAGAAGATTGATCAGGGTGGTGTTTGGCGTGAGCGTTGGAATTCTAAGGGTTGGGATTTGAGATATTGTGTCTCTTTCTCACGAGAGTTACTGGACATATTATTCCAAGAAACTATTGGACATAGGTAGAGCGACGTCTCAACAGATGATCTCTCTTTGGCTATTTCATGTCCCACAGCTGGCATAGAGAAAATATTGTAATTAAACCCACTACACCACATGGTAAGGACATATTATTAACATCATCAAAGAGAAATCCAACAGGGCTAAAACTAAAATGAAGAGATAATAACAGCATAATGAAGCAACATCCCATACACATTGCCCCAAGAAAAGACATTAGCAGAACGTTTAAGTTGAAAATCTCCAAACTTAGGTACCAAGAAAGAATAAGAAAGAGGGAGAAACCTCTCCGTTAGGAGTGGCACATCTACTGATACACAGATCTAGAAAGCAAGAAAGAACGGGAGCAGGAGTATTCGGCACTGGAACCAAATATTCAGAACTCATGTATCATTCAGCTGAAGTCCATGCAATGTAGGGATGTACCCCCTTGAAAATCATATCAGATAGCCAAGCAGCCATCAAAGCACAAAGTACGAACATTAACTCAAAGCTGGTGATGAATTGCAAAACTAAACTGAAGAGATTAAATATGCAGAATAAATTCACTCTCTGCTGGTTCCGAGGACATGTGAGAGTAGAGGGCAACGAGAAAGCGGAACGCCTTCCAAGGAAAAGGGCTGATATATCGCTAATAGATCCTGAACCCTTCTGTCGCATATTGGAAATAATCCAAGATTCTTCTAGCAATTTTGAAAGGTAAAGAAACTACAGAATGGTTCAAACGAAGCAGGTAAATCTTCGAATTCTAACACGATTTTTTAACAGGACCCTGCAGACAGAATGGGCATCTGAAGAAGGTAGGTGTAACTCAACGCGACATGTGGAGATTCTCGAAAGAAGCAGAGGAAACACCAACACATCTACTAACAACCAGTGGTGCCACATTTACCGCAGGCTTAAGTGTTTTGAGTTACACAACATAACCGTAGAAGAAATTCAACCACCGAGACCAGGCCTAATAAACAAGTTTCTTGATGAGCTAGGACTCACGACAAGAACAGAACGGAAATGTATTAGCTCTAAATGCAGTAAAACAGATTAAGTGTACCGTATATCTATTTTATGTATTTGCTCACTACTACCGAATTAGTGGTAGTACAGAATAATTAGACATCAGAAGTTCAATAATTAGCGTAAGGTAAATATTTCTGGTGCCTCAGCAAGGCAGAGCGTGCTATTTTTCCAAAGAAACAAATATTATTCCGTGTACTTACCAAATAAAACGAATGAATATGATCTGGTGCTGAAAATATATCAATAACTAAATAAAAATATTTTTTCTTATTTTTATTTCATGTTAAAAGAAGCGAACAGGCACCAATGGAATGCTTTTTGTTGAACGTCGAAAGAGACCTTATCGCGAACACTTTTTACAACCGGAGCAGGGGGCAGAAGTCGTTTACCCAATTCGTTATCCCCCTGGCCCAGAGTAAAACCGTATTTTCACCCTAGACGCAATATGACCGCGAGATTAATACATCTTTACCAATGATTAATGTGAAAGCGTAGGTGAGCCTGAAGCTGGAGGGTACGTGGAATTGATCAATACGCATGCATACCCAAGGACGTATCCTTGTCCTCGCTGATTTGTATTCTCGAGATATTCAACATTCTGATCTTATCGAAGAACATGTAGGGTGAACCTTTTTTTCCGTTTTCTAAGGATAAAACGGGAAAAGGTTCGGCGATCATCCCTGTCACCCTGATAATACCGTATTAACCACAACGTCCAGGAGAGTTTTTGAATAAACCAAATATTTGTCCTGAAGTTCAATTATACCAAAAAGACATCTGAGGCAATTTTCTTCTAAAATAACATAGGGTATGAGTATTTATTGATTCGTATATTAATACGAACCGGACTAGTGAGACAACAGGTGATTAACTGCAATCGGACGTCCTCTTAACCGAACCTATTTCACTATTACACCCCGTTTATTTTACCCTCAACTACTTTCACAGTCAAAAGTTTATGTAAAACTGTTATTCTTTGCGTATTAACTCTTAACGTTGACTTAGAGCAAGACGAATTTAAGCAATTTTGTCGAAAAGTTAGCGGTAAATCCCGTGAGTTTAGATTGGCGCCAAATAAATCAGTGTTACCAATACACGGGCGGATACAAAGCAAGAAGAGCTAACCTTAAACAAATCTGTAAAGTTGGCATTGTTCTAAAGCAAATTTGGACAAGAAATGGTTAAATTATAAACTAGATAAGAAATTTTTTATATTCCGAGACATGTTGGAGATAGAAGGTTCCAAGATGGAAATTTTAGACTGGCTACAAAAAATCAGCCTTGTCAAAAGTCAGGCAGAAGCAACACTGCACCCGCCCTGAACTAATGGGATTTCCTGCTAACCTCAAACAAAATCGCTAATTGCAATGCTCTGAAGCAAATTTGGACAAGAAATGGTTAAATTATAAACAAGATATGAAAATTTTTATATCCCAAGCCATGTTTGTCAAATATAACAATCGATAGAAGGTGCAATAGTGATGTGAAGAGCCATGTTGGAGACAAAAGGTTCCAAGGTGGAAATTTCAGATTGACGCTAAAAAGTCTATTTTGCCTATAAACGGGATGAATCATTGAAAGAAAAATAATTAAACTCTTGGGATTATCTATGTTTTGGCAACTTTGATAAATTTGGTGTTGCCCCGATTCAACGGCGTAAGAAATAGTTAATTTCGGTAAACAGTAACTAAGGCTTATGTATTTCGTAAAAATGTAAGCCAATAATTATAAAAAGGATAAGCACTCTATTCATAATACATAACTTAATTCGTAAATTTTTAATGGTCGATCGAGATAGAATCATAATTTTTACATAAACATTCTAAATATGAGTTCATACTCTGTCTTTAAAGTTGTTTCTGCCAATTAAAAAATCATCGCCAGATAAGTTGCTCATAATTTATTTCACTAAGCATATTTAAATTGAAATGGACGGAATCTGTTAGGTGTTGGTTGATTTTTTCGGATATATTATAAACTTTCTTTCGTTTGGAAAGAGTAGGAATCGCCGTCCACGTCTACACAACACAGTTGACATTCGCAGTAAACTGTTTCGCCGAGCTGAACATCCGATCTTGGACGTCCGGTATGGAACATCGCGAACATTCTGGGCTCTTGATCCTGCTCTGAAGAATTCGACGCCGCCCCTTCAGAATCATTCCGAAAGGGGAAAGGTTGATGATGGTTTTGTTCAAATTCGATATTGGTCATATCGGCATAAACGCCGATTTCCTCCAGAGTCTTGACACAATTCTGAGATGCTGCCTGTACTGCGTTATTCAGCTTTTTAATTGCCAGTAATCTAGGTCTCTTTACTTTTAAACGAGCTGCAAGCCTTTTTACTCTCATGTTAGAACGATTTTTCTCCCATTAAACCTAAAAAATACAGTTATAAATTAATTGTTTCAGTCAAGGTGAGTTTCAAAAGTGAAAATCCTTTATGTACACCAAACGGTCATGCCCAATACTTTGTTATTTTATTAAAATATTTACTTTATGTCTAGAGATTTTTAAATGTTGATTTATTTAGATCCCGGGGTGGATATGTGACGTCACGGGAGCAAAAGTATGTTGGTCTCATTAAGTTGGTCAGCTTGATCACTTCAGCCCCGGGCGCATGCGAAATATTGCAACATATATTCAATACGCATTCACACAAATAAATACATTCACACCTATATACATTGCATTCATTCTATTGGATGGATGGAATACCGATTATGCCTCCATCAACCTGCACACAATAACAAGCCAATCCAATTGGGGTCGATGTGGTACTTTTATAAATATTCCGCCATCGACCTCAGTCACGTACACAGCTCGAGGGCCGATGGCGATGTTATTCCACCATCAACCCCTCCCCATTCAATCTAATAAATACACTCATACAAAACACAGAAACACTTAACGACTATATGCAATAAAAAATTCCCAAGTCCCTTAAAAAGCGGAACAGGGGACCCTGAAACTCGCTACCGTGTCCGAGAACCATTCTTAAATTCGGCAGCATGCCTACACGCTTTCTGCACGGAGCTAAGGCATGACACGCCTCTATTATGTGGGACAATCGAGCAACCTTTCTCTGCATCAGGCTTTGGCCCAAAAGCAGGTGCCCGTGTGTCAACCGTGTATGGCCAATCCTCAATCGGGTGAGGACGATCCCTTCTCTCCTGCTCAGGTTCTCAGAGGGCCGGTCATGCTCTTGGCTCGCATATTTTATCATGTTTTTCACTGCATGCTTAGCGTCAGAAGGCCTGTTCGCGATGGTCCGATCCGGAGGGTGGGACGTCCCGGCTTTCGCCGCCTCGCCCGCACGTTCGTTACCCTCCAGGCCGACGTGTCCGGGAACCAGAGAACAACCACCGTTTTTCCGAGAGGCTCCAGCTCCGCGTATTTCTCTAACAAGAGCAGGACGAAAGGGTCCTCAGAGAGCCTGTCTCGTAAAGCCCAAACAGCGCCAAGTTAGTCGGTACATACGAGGAAGGCCGAGCCCTCCTCGGTCCGCACCGCCTCGACAGCGTGCCAAATCGCATACAGCTCTGCCGTGTATACGCTGCAATCAGGGGGCAACGATCAGAAGTTGGCGACTCTCTGCTATACACGCACACGCCACACCATCGCCGGTCTTGGACCCGTCTGTAAAAATCAGACGAAAACCGACGTATCTATTTCTAAGTTCAAGGAACTTAGACTTTTCGAGGTATGGCGGAATAACACGATTTCGACAAGATCGCCAGAGTGAGTTCAACCCCACCCCCGAAATATCGAGTACCCTGGGGGGGAGTAAGTTTGGGTGTTGTGTTGATGTCAATTTACTGGAATGAATGTAATTTATTTGCGTGAAAAGAAAGGGTTGCCTAACCACGCGAAAAAATGATTAAACATTTCGTTAGGTATGCATAGTCAAAACATTCAACATGACAATTTATTGGGTGAATCATTGTTAGCACGGCCTTTTTTTTATCAACTGCAGAAGAATTTTTATTTTCCTAACAGAACTGACCATTCTTTTTATTTATATTTTAATCGTGTAAAAGATATCAATCCGTAATCTGCCGGTAAACAAATAAAACAATGGTCACACTGTTTACAATATTTCATGAATGCTATTAATTGATGTTAGGTATGTTAAAAAAAGCAATACAATAAACTTACTCATCTCTCTACCAACTGATAATAGGGATATTTTAAATAAAAATTTTACAAACTAGTCAATATCCAAGATTTCTAGTGAAAATAGAAACAAATGATCAGAGATTAAAATGCGCGCGCGGAGGGCGATGCCAATTTGAAACTGACGAACCTTGGCACATTTTGTCCGAAATCTAACGAAAAAACTAAATATTTACATGTGATTTTATAATGAGGTATGTAATAAAAAATATAATCAGGTAACATATTCTGAAGTCCTGATGTTTCTACCGTATTTTTATTTGCTGTTTTGGTACTGGTCGGTTTTGTGAATTTTTTGGAATGTTGATGGGTCTTCTGGTTTGTTCCTCTTCATCTTCAAAACATAGAGTATGTTTAAAAAAATTGTTTATTAACTAAAAGGGGCCTACCCATTGCTACCAACATCCCAAGAAATTCAGTTTAATCAGTTCCCGCTCCATTAGAAGTTTTGTTATTTTATGTTTGCTATGTACTTTATGCTTTACAGTTGGCTTTATTGTTAAAAATGACCTATTTAAAACAAAGCACAGAATATTTATTAAAATTAAACAAATCGCTTATTGAAAATAACAAAAACGAAGTTAAAATTTTCACATTCTGTGCCATAATTTATTTATTAAGTTATTTGATAAGTTAAGTAAGTTAGTTTTTGATATTTTTTTTATTATTTTGAGATTACCTCCTGAAAGTTACCAAGAGGAAGATGCGTTTCTTATTTGCTCGTCTTATCCCGCAAGTGGTGAAGATTTCCTTAAAGAAAAACATAAATTAATGAGGATCTCAAGGAAACCTCGCTTGTTTTGTACCTTTGAATGCTGTCGAAACCTCGGAGGAGTTGTGAAAAGACGATGAATATCCGTAAAAAATTATGTTGCCGGCTATAAAACGTTCTTGTATTAAAAAAAAAAATCAGGTGAGAATTTTTCTAACATTGGCGGGTTTTATGATGCAAATAGCACATCTTTTTTTCTGTTATAAAAATTCCCTGTTAGAAACCGCCATTAGTTAAACAAATTAGTTTTCAACTTCTATATATTATTATTTTATATTTGTTCTAGAATATCGTTAAGAAATGTTAACCTAAATCGCAATTTGAAAGAAACGAGTTCGAGAAAAAATATTTACCTAGGATTTTGCTAATAGTAGGTGTTTAGTCTCAAGACAAGCGCAGTTGTGACTGTACAGTTTAAGAGGGGATCTGCTTTACACCGGCTACTAATCTCAGCGCGCAGACGCAAATTTTAATCATAAAATTCGTACAAATTAAAAATACATATTAAGAATTATTATTTTCATTTACAAGTAATTAACTAAATAAAATTTGCAGTATAAAAACGTATAAAACAAGTTCATTTTAGCTTTACAAATTATATTCACTAGTTTTCGTGGTCCGCTTGACCAATTGATACATTTCAATTAATTAAAGTTTTTAGTTGACTAGGCAACTAGAACTAGAAAATTCAAAAGGTGGGGTTGAGACGGGAAGTTAGTGTCCGAGTGGATAAAGCTCACGATATCTAGCCGAAGATCGTGGGTTCGAATCCCGCTCGTGACACTGACTTTTTTATATCAACTAAAAACCTTAATTAATTGAAATGTACAAATTATTACAAATTATCACTAAACATGTTTTAAAAATACATTTTTTATTAAGCCTAGTCAAATGAATTCATCTATTAATTTCATAATGACTAGATACTAAATAAATAATAAATAACTGTTCTACTCGTCAGTGTCTTAGTTTACCAAATTAATTAAACATAGACATTGCAAAAGTACCTTTTACTAATCCTAATCTGAACTTGGGTACTCCAAACGTTCCATTAAATCGAATTGAAAATTCAAGTTGTAATAAGTTCAAAGGATTGAAAGGACCCCCAAGCTACTTCGGCGATCCCTTATTTTTTTATTGCCCACTCACCCCTTCGCGAAAAAGCTAGCAAACGCTAGCTGCCTTGGGGCGGCCGGGGGTTGACGAGCCCCCTTCTAGTTTTATATTATTTTTTTCTTCAATAAGTCAGAAAGAGCAACTTCAAAAAAATAAGCTCAAAAATCTGGATTTTTGACAGACTAAAGGAAATAACTTTGTACACTACTCCAACGCTTCGTAAAAAATAATATTTTCTATGCTTTTTTTCTTTTAGCTTGCATTGTAATTTAATCTTTGTCGTACACCTCGACAGGGCTATTTATCCATAAATAAGTATTGTGTGGTTTGAATTCATAAAGAAAACTATTTTCCCAAAACTTTGTCCTTGTGACTTTGATGGTCATAGCAAGTGTTAGATGGTTTCAAAAATGTGCACAATATCTCCCTGTTTATTCCCAGTTAATATTTCGCAGTGTAGTATGGTCCTATCAATTTTTCTTACTATCAAACGGATCCCTTTACATAAACCGTCTCTTACGCATAAATTAATAGCATAACCATACATTTTTCTTTTAAGTGCAGTCCTGGAGGCAAACCTGAAGGTGTCATTGATTGTTAATATTCAATGGGATACTGTAAACTTACGTTTGCATTGTGGGTTTTGTCACCAGCTAGTGACTCCATAGGAAAATCTATGTAAACACACTTAACAATTTCACCTGGTAGTCATTTCACAACGAGATGATTGATTTTTTTTCATTTCATCATTTGTACCTGCTAATTCAGCGTTAATACTCAGTTTTTCCTTAGATAATTTTAATGGATAAAGCTCTTCAATTAAATTATCGCGTAACATTTCCTGTGGTCATAGGACCCAGTAAGTGACCCTGTGCAGGTTCAACATGAGTTCACCGACTCGCAAACGAAAACCCTTAATTTCTCATTTCCAGGGGTGTTTCAAGGTTTTTATGATATTATTTACGAATCTCCATTTGTGGACAATTAAATTGCTGAAAGCTATTCCATAACAAACTAAACAGGCAAAAAATTTCATAAAATTGATTTTTTTCCATTTTCTCGATAAAAGAAAATTCTGTCCTTAATTTGACTCATTGTTTTTATCAATAAATATTGGTTTATGCTATGTGTTAAATTAGAGGTAAACACACTTAATTTGAAATTTAGAATGCTTATTCAGTCTCATTTGAATTCTGAAACAATAAACTGTTTAGTTTCATCTTTCTATTCTGAATTTCAATTTTTAAACATAAAAATGTTACTTAGTGCTGAGGATGTTGCGCGTGGACTGGCACTTATTGATAATGGACATAAAAATATTAATATTAAATACGTATTTTTAGTTTTTTTGATAGCGTCATTGGTTCAAGCGAAATTCAAACAACAGACGGCAAAAAAATTCCACCCAATTGATTTTTTCCCCGCTTTGTTACCATTAATTTGTCTCACTGTTTTTACCAATATAATATTTGTCTATGCTATGTTTTAAATGGTGTTGGCGGGAGGGGCTACTGCAATTATTAGCGTACCTCCCAATCCGTTTCCAGGAATTTGAATGTAGGGTTTCTTTACTTGAAGGTGAATTGGAGAGATAATCTAGTAAAAAATATAATTTATAAACAATCAATACTATAATTGTACTTATACATAAAATTGTAATGTTGTTACATTTACAACTAAATTCTTAAACATAAACAATAGGCCAAGGGAATATTAAACTTAACAAAGTAAATTAATTACAATATTATTAAAAGCTAAAACAGAAGTTTTTTGCTTGTTTGTTTGTTTACTCAGCTGATGGTTTGAGGTAGATAGCAAATCTTCATCTATTTGAACTGGTACAGATCGAGGTAGCGGTAGGTATCGAGGTCAGATTCAGATGGTCGGGGATCAGGTGACGTGCGTGATGCCTTCGCCGAGGTTATCAGGTTTTTCCAATAGGTGTTCACTTCGCGACAAACATTTAATAGGTTAGGGAACGGAACGAAAACAGCGTAGGTGCGCACAGAACAAAAGTTCGAAAAACACTGCCACTGCCTCCAAGCGAAAAAACGGGCCTACTAGATATTGTTTGTTTGCAGGGCCAACCGTATTTTAATGCCACTTACATCACTTATATTAATTTTATGATTGTTTTAACACATGTTGAAACTAAATATATAAACAAAACGTAACAAAATAATAATTACATTTAAATAAATCTAATATTAAACAAGTACATTTTTTTTCTTAAACCTATTTATTCCGGCGCAAACAAATGGGGAATATCTATTAGAGGTAAACACGCTTAATTCATAATCCAAAAAAAAGGATACAGGATTTTTCAATTTTTACTTTTTACGAAATTTGAAATGTTTGTTCAGTCTCATTTGAATTCTGAAACAATAAACCGTTTAGTTTCATCTTTGTTTTCTTAATTTCAATTTTTAAACTTAAAAATGCCACTTAGTGCTGAGAATGTTGCGCGTGGTGTGGGAACTATGGATGATGGACGTTCCATCAGGTATGCGGCTTTTGCCATCCCCTGCCTAAGTTCCCTAAGAAACACTGAGAGACGCGGTTAGACATTTTCGAGAAACTGGGTTCTACCATAAAGGCCCGGTTCAGGAGGGCCTAGTGTAACAGAACCACAGGATGACCATTTTTTGACATTGAGAATCTTGCGAAACCGGCACCTTACTATTGTTCAAGCGATTCATCAGCTCCAGGAAACTCGAGGTGTCCAAATTTCTGAACGCACTGCTCGAGAAGATTAAATCAGTATGGTCTGATGGCTTTTCGCCCCGTAAGAGGACCAAAATTGACCAGAACACACTGAGTTGCATGGCTCGCATTTGCTCTAAAACACAGCCATTGGTCTTTGGACGATTCGTGTGCTGTACTTTTTACATATGTGTGTAGATTTGCTCTACGATCTCCAGATGGGCGTGAAAGAGTGCGGAGAAGTCGAAATGAAAGGTACGAAGCCTGTATTTTTTCCCAGAGCCAACATTTTCAAAGTAGCTCGGAGATGGTGTCGGCGGGAATTTCAATGAAGAGTCGCATCGTGTTGGTTCTTGTTAATGGAAGGTCATTGACAACCACTCGCTATGCGGATGAAATTTTGGAATATCATGCGTTGCCTATCTTAGATGAAATCAACGACAATCCTATTCTAATGGACGATACTGATCGTCCACATGTCGCTGGCATAGTACAAACTACCTCCAACAGCATAACATGCGGGTCTTTTCATTTTTCATTTTCCTTGGCAAGTTACATTTTTAAACTTTTTTGTAGGAAGACTCAATTATTAAACGTTAAAAAACGTGAAAATTTGATTAATATATAAAAATATATGCACATCAAGTTATATTACAACTGGGTGGAATTTTTTGCCTGTCAGTGTATTTATTAAACATGCTTCATAAATTAGCCTACTGCCTCCTTTTTTTACGACTGGTAAAACCTTTCCAAAGTCACTACCCATTATAAATTTCCCAGCAAATGCACGATCGTTATTAAAAACAGCCCTAAATGTCGTATAGATAGTGGCTAATGCAGTTTGGTGAAACATCGACGCTTCACCCAAGATGAAAATGTCTGTTTGTTGAAGACCATCTTTCATTTTATGCGACCAGTGCAGTGTGACACGGTCATCAACTTTAACGGTAACCCGAATGTTTTATGTCCTGTCCGTCCAAATTGGTAGCAGGACCGCCCTTATTTCAGTCCAAGTAATGGTTCTTATGATAAAAAAGCAACCTTAACTTCGCCAATTGTAATATTTTTTTTAGCTATATGTTAATTTTTTTTTCAATTCGATTAGTCTTAAGCAGCTATTTAATGCCATTTAAAAAAATATACAGACCTCTCAGAAATTAGTTCACAACTTCCGGATTAAAGTAAGTACCAATAGCAATTTTAGAAAAACGTTCCTCTTTCCATCGATGTATTTATGTTAAATATGACTTGGTTTCTTAAAGTTTAAACTGAGAAAATATTGAGAGAAGTGAAAAATTCTATTAAAACATTTCGTTTACCCTCACCCTATCTTTTTCTCTTTCTACACCGTTAAAATCGTGACGTCGATCCACTCGGACAACAACTTCCCATCTCAACCTACCTTTCTACTTTTCCCTTCCTCGAATTTAAAATGGCAAAAAGGAGAGAAAATTTCAGAGGTGATGTTGAGATGGGAAGTTGGTGTGCGAGTGGATCGAAGTCACGATCGCTCAAGTGGTAGAGCAGCGGCGTATTTAGCCGAAGATCGTGGGTTCGAATCCCGCGCGTGCCATTGACTT